CTGTTTATGTATGTTTTTTACCTTGAATTGTTTGTTTACCCAAACACCACGGTGTGTCTAAAGTACTCTTTGTTAAAATTAAAAAAAACAATAAAATATATTTTAAAAAAAAATAAAGTACATACCGGGAGGAAAAAACTTCCTAGCTGATGTGCTATCGAGATTGCCCCAATACAAAAGCTAACGCAAAGAGGTTAATGAGGCAATTATTTCCAGTCCACAAACTGCCACTCAATTCACGCCTCGCAGAGTCCCTAATCCTGGGGTAAAGAAAATAAAACAAGAGCTCCTCAACGATCAATGGTTCAAAGATAATCAAACCTCCCTAACGTGCAGGGATGGCTTGGCATACAAAGGGGGAAAACTATATTTGCCTGAAGCCCTCCATCTTAATGCTCTCAAACATAACCATGATGTAAAACAGGCTGGACACTTTGGATATTTAAAAACTCTACACCTCACCTGCCAGCAATTTTGGTGGTCGGGGCTGAAACGGGATGTCTGTCGGTGGCAGACCTTTCTCAACCATGGGAAGAAATAGCTATGGACTTCATAGTAGACCTACCTGAAAGTAGAGGAAATACTGTCATACGGACTGTGATAGACCTGTTCTCAAAGCAGGCTCATTTCATTGCCTGCAAAGGATTTTCATCTGCCCAACAACTGACCAAATTGTTCCTGAAACATATCTACCAGCTGCATGGTCCTCCTAAGCAAATAATTTCGGACGGGGGGGGGAGCAGTTCACAGTGAAGTTTTGGAGGAGGTTTCTTAAATTAATTTGATCATCTCAAGGCTTATCATCTGCTTTTCATCTGGCCACCAATGGGGCTGCAGAATCCGCTAACAAAATGGTGGAGCAATATCTCAGATATTACATTTCCTACCAACAGACAAACTGGACTGACTCCTCCCTTTTGTGGAGGTGATGTACAATAATTCTGTGCACAGCAGCACCGGCTACACGCCTTTCAGAGTGGCCACAGGAAAAGAGTTCAGCCCAATACCTGAATCCCCTCAGGTGCCCTCCACTTCCCAGACACTTGACCAATGGGTGAGGGGGTAGGAAGAAGTTTGGAGAAACATGAAAACTGCTTTAAAAAAGACTTTTGAAACCTATAAAAAGCAAGCTGATAAAAAGAGGGCTCCCTAAAGAACATTCCAAGTTGGGGAAAAGGTTTATCTGTCAACTAAATATTTACACCTCAAAATACCCAGTAAGAAGTTAGGACCAAAATTCTTGGGGCCTTTCCCCATAGTAAGGATCATCAACCCATCACAGTAGAATTGAAACTCCCTAGACATTTAGGAAGGGTTCACCCTGTCTTCCATTGCAGCTTGTTAAACCTTGTCAGGGCTCCACTTTAAGACCTCCCCCCCAAAAGGCACCCGGGCCCCTCGTAGTAGTGGGTCAGACTCACTATGAAGTAAAAGGTATTTTTGACTCTAGAATTTTTAAAGGGAAATTGCAGTACCTAGTGCAATGGAAGGGGTACTCCCTGTCCGAAGCTACTTGGTTAAAATCCAGCGAGGTGAAAGCTGACAGACTCATCAAAAGGTTTCATATGAAATACTGCAACAAACCAAAAAATGGCCCCTGTTACATTCCAGGTTCTGTTTTTTTAAGGGGAGCCGGATGTAATGCTGCTAACAATGGATGTTCTTGTTCTGACAAAATATGCAGAGCTGTGTGGTATTTTTAGAGTTAACTCAGATGACGCTGGGAGGGGAGAAAAAATGTATGTGGGTAATTATATTAGATAAAAATCCCACGCTCAAACGGAAGAGAAACTTTGACCTTCAAACTGATAGGAGAATATGATTTATGAGAGCAAATCAAGGGAGGGAACATGCTGGCAAAGTATGGAGGAGAGGAGGAGGAAAATTAAGTTCTTAGCATACCTCATTCATGCTGTGCTGACATTTTGTTACATGAATAAAAGACTTTTTAGGACAATGCCTGGAAGTTCTTTGAAGTTTTTCATTAGTCGGAACCTTGACACAAAACACTTGTGGACAGGAAGGAAAGGGATAAACTTTCAAGTCGGGAAGTAGAGGGTTAAGAGCAAAGCATCTCCTAGAAAATAGCCTGATACTTCCAACAAAAAAGTGCATATTACTTCACAAGAAGCCAAAAATTCTTGTAAATTCTTAATTTTAAAAAATTTCTGATTTCCCTTTCTTAAGGAAAATTCCTTTTCAATTTTTTAAATTTCTTTTTTCTATTTCTTTTTTTATTTTAAATTTCCTTGTTCCAATTTTAATCTTCTTTTTTCACTCTTAAATATCATTTTTCATTTTAATTTTTTTCCATTTTTTTAAAAAAATCTTATTTTTTACTGTTTAAATCATTCTCAATTTTAAAATTCTTTTTTCATTTTTTTCAATTTTTCAATTTCTTATTTCAACTAAACATTTAAAAAACAATTTACTATTTTAATTCTTTAGAAATTTTTAAATTCTTAATGATCTGAGGAAAAAAATAAAAAAACGACAAAAAAGACACACTTAAAACAGAGAAGTTACTGATGAATTTTTCAAGACAGAGAATAAAATGTCAAGAACTCGTGTAAACTATTGTAAACTGACACTTTGTAATACAGAGTGTTTAAACTAGAAAATTTTAATTTCTTAGCAAAGAAACAAAGAAAAAAGTCATGGAAACAGAGATTGACGCTATAGTGACTTGCAAAGTGTGCTGTATGTTTCAGCTTATGCCCACAGAAGACCCAAACTATATATGTATCAAATGTAATCTATCTGAATTACTAGAAGAAAAAGTAAAGGGTTTAGAGACAACTATAGCCACTCTGAAATTCAATGAGAAAAACAAGAAATCCCAGTCTAAACAAGAAGACTACACCAAAATAAAACACAATAGGGAGCAAACAGATTCTAAAAAATGACGATCCCGTATATAAACCTAAAGAAGAAAAGTGATACAACCAAATCAAACACAATAGGGGACAAACAGCTTCCGTAAAAAACAAGCCCACATATGTACCTAAGGAGCAAGACTGATGGAAACATCAAACTTCATGACCTATAGAACCTAATTCCAAGCAAAAACCACTACATAACCAATCACATAAGGAGGAATGGAGTAAAGTAAAAAAAGAAATAAAAAAAGAAAAACATAATGAAATAGAATGCAATGGAAAGGATGTAAATCCCAGTTACAAAGTAGGAGGTATAAGAAACCTACCCAAGACCAATAAAGGATTCAAATGCCTATACACTAATGCTCAAAGTTTAGGGATCAAACAGGATGAACTTGAAGTATTAGTACATGAAGGCAGATATGATATAATTGCCATTACTGAAACCTGGTGGGATGAAACTCTTGACTGGAATGTACTGATGGAAGGATATAAACTGTTCAAAAGTGTGACGTTCAAAATGTTATTTTCAGAAGTGATTTCAGACTTACAATCTGGGTCTGTGGTAGAAGTCTATGAGGCTAACCCTTTCCCTAGTGTTATTTCCGCAACAGAGTTCACAATAGTTGCTATACAAGAACAAAATTCTATATATATTACTGAAATTTCGAACTAATTCAGAACAAATTATGGTTAATAGTTTATTGACCTGTAGAAAATAAAAGGCTATGCATACTTGCAAAATACTTTTGACTTTGTGTGAGTATGTGTTTTCTCTTACTGATTAACAGCCCAATTTTTCAGGCTTTCAAAAAAGCTGGAAAAAAACATACCAATTGCTTTGTGTGTGATGGTGTATTTGTGCAGCTCTATATTTGCAGTATTCTAAAATGGAATCAGGGCAAATGGCCCTCGGTTTTTCTTACTGCATCCTGAAGTCAAGTTTATATAAAGTGTTAGATTAGAGATTGTGAGTTCTAATGTTCCCTTTGGTATGAAAGCTGTCTGAATAACTTTGGCACAGTCACTCTCTCTCAGCCCAAGCTGCCTTAAAGAGTTGTTGCTGTGGCAAAATTAAATTAAATTTAAATTATTAGATTTTGAGGTTACCTAATTCCAGAAGATCCTAGAGAGCTTACAATATTTGAAATACCTAATTTAAGAAACATGACTACCTAGACCAGCGGTTCTCAACCTATGGGTCGCGACCCCATTTGGGGTCGATCGACCATTTTTCGGGGGTCGCCAAAGAAGGCGATCCGCCATTTTCTCCCCTCAGGGGGCGGCGCCGCGCATGCACGCTGCGCATGGGGGGCGGCGCGCATGCGCAGAACATTTGTGTGACGGGTCGCCGTCACACAAACGTTGAGAACCGCTGACCTAGACAAAATACCATTAATAACGCAGCTGCCCCCTGCTGTTTGAACTAGCTGTGAGTCCAAGAGGACCCCACAATGCACACCTACCTATGCAACTCCATCCAAAACTAATACTAAAGCCATCCCTGACCACAAGGACCCCCATATATAAGCAGTCCAGGGCTGAGATGTATAACTGGGAATGATCAGCATACTGATAATACCAGACCTTGAACTGACAAATTACCTCACCCAGTGGTTTCACACTGAGGTTCAAAAGGAGCAGAGCATCAAAACATCAAAACATTTATTGATAAAGAATTCTGAATGACAGCATAAAATTTGAAGTAGATGCTAGGCCTGTAAAAGATAAGGTTCCAGGCATCTTTTGCTGGTAGCTCTCAAAATGGTATCCACCTTGAGCAAGTGACCCCCCCTCCATGTATGGATTTTACAGGTGATTTCTATTTTTACAAAGAGTGTATCTTGTGCGGCATTTTCAGTTATATTGATCACCAGGAAGCATCATGTGATCAGTTTACTCTGAATAGGACTCTTCAAATACAAATAACCACATATTATTCTATGGGGCTCAAACCCTCTAGTGGGAAATGAACTCATGGATCTTCCCACTTTAGATAACTAATTAGAGTGCATTCTGAGAGCTTCTAGATATCCCTTCCTGAAACTACTGAATACCATCCTTTGTTAGTATGATTTCTAGCATAAATCAAGGTCTGTGTCATTCCTGTTTCCTCCACAGACCCTGCCAATGTCACCTGCTACAGCCCTGTTTTTATGCATGGCTTGAAAATGCTGGAAGAGGTGCAGGAAGAACTCTACTACAGGTGCTATATCCATTTCAGCAACCAAGACTATCTCTTTCTGGGGTTAATTGGGTTTGGTATATTCTCTGCTGGCACTGTGTTGGCCTGGCTGATGCAAATATGTGCAGTGATATATGAGTTCTTAACTGCCACAGGAGAAGATGATAAGGAGGAAGAGGAAATGGAGAACTAGAATGACTCATCACAATGGAGCTCCAAGTATGTTTATTTTAAGTATCTCCCAGGCCATTCAATAAGGTTGCAGTAATTATAATGCAAACAGTGGGACTTCCTTCTCAGTGGAAAAGAATAAACAGATTATACTGAGGCTGTAATTGTTAGCAAAACTCTACCAAAGTAGATCCCATTCAACATTATTTTAAGTGAGATCTTGAATAAAAAAAAATTCTTATGTTTTAAAGTGCATTTCTTCAAAATGTAAACATTTAATAACATTCCACAATAAAAGAAAACATGCATGAGTAATAATAAAGCATTGTCTTACTTATCCACATTGAAAATCATTCCAGTGAAACCCTAACATTGACTCCACTCTCCTTAAGTACTCATTACTGAAACTTTTTAAAAAGTATTCTTGAGAAAGGTTAAAACAAAAGGCTGAACATCACCTTCTAAAGAGGGATTTCACCTTCTAAAGAGGGATACTATATCTTCCAGATTCCAAAGCATGGGAGACACTGTTCCACTCTTCAGGGAACTCAACATAAATGAATAATGGCTTGGCCAGGCAAGTCCCTTCATTCCTGGAGATGATAGCCAGCACCAAGATGGAACACTTGAATCGAATTATTGATCACTTACAGGAAACAGAATCTTCAAATGAGAATACGAAGTTCTTGCTCCCTAGATCAAGAGGGTTCCAAATAACAAGGTTTGGTTACATATGAAAGACAAGCATTCCCCAAGGAGAGGGTTAGAAACAAATCAAAGGACTTCCAGTTTGCTGCTGCAGCCGCCACAGGCGTTGGAAGGTGAGCTCCGTCTTCCACATTTGATTTTGCACTGCTGGGGGACTCTGGCGATGAGTAAGGAGGGGACCTACGCTTGATCACGGGAGGGCGGTAGCCCTTCCACTCGATTCGGGGTAGCCCTCCAAACCAGCAGACGAAAGACCGGCCATAGAAATATGGCCCCTCACTAGGTTGCAGACAGCCGAAGTCAAACTTACTACCAGGCACCTATAAAGCAGCACAGATGAGACTCAGTGAGATCTAAACCTCTCTTCAATCCTAACTATTTTTTCCATCTGTATAAGCTGCCCAACGTATTTCCCCCCTCTGGAGAGAGGGAAGGGAAAATCCATCCCATCCTCTAAAAATAGTGGTGACTGACTATCCAGGGGAGTTTAAAATGCTGAAAGAACAACCTGATTTTAACTGGATTTTTATCTTTCTAAAATTTGAGGACTAAAAGATTTCCTATTCTTATTGAAGATTTGGGTTCTTACTTATAAAAAACAAGTAAAATTGGAAAAACAACTATAAAAATTTTGGACTTAAAAAAAATCTTAAACAGGATGGGTGACATCTTGTGGCTAAACCTGATATTACAACTTGTTATTGCCTAAAAGAGACTTGGCTTGAAGCCTAGACTATAGATAAGACTTTTGCAACCTTGGCAGATATCAGCTGTGAGAAACCCAGCTGTGTTTTACACTCAGTGACAGAATTATTTTCATTCTCTGCTTGTAAAGCTTTTAATTAAATATATCACTAAGAGAACATGGATTTAAGATCAGGAACAGATTCTCTCTATGTTGAAAGCAATTTATGAAACTCTTCTAACAGCTACTGATGAAATAAGAAGCAACAGAAAAGAGCAAGATGTCAGCCTAGATATACAAACCCAAACTTTGATTACAACTAAAGAATCAACTACACAGAATATAATAGAAGAAGTGGAACAATCAAATACTATGATAGAAGAGTCAACTGATCAACAAACACAGTTAACAGAAAACCCGGAAAAGGGACTGACAACACTGAAAATGGAAAAGACTTTCTATATAAACCAGAAAAAACCTGAGGATCAAGAAGAAGAACAGATCGAAGGGAAGATAAACATTTCAGGACAACTATGTTGAGATGGAAAAATAGAGAGATGATTTATTAGTTCTTCCCAAAAAATGGTGACTGGATGGCCTTTTTATCTCAAACAATATATCTAATAACAGAGGGAGATTTATTTGATGATTTAAAAGCACGGATATGGAAGGTGAGTTGGCAAAGAAAGAAAGCTAGAATAAGGCTGAAGAAAATTGGGGTTTTGACTTATTAGTGAGGATTAAAATTGAATATACTTAAATAGACAAGATGTGTACTTTGAATACTAGATTTTGTCATGAACTAAGAAAGCTTTGGTCATTTAAAACTTGGAAGTATAAACATTAAAAGTTAAATTTGAATATTGATTTGTTTATAAAGGTTGAATGTAAAAGCAATTAAGATATATATATAATCTAAAAATCTTTTGATAAATGTAATAAACATGTTTTTACATAGCTGATATAATAAAAACTGTACTAGCTTAATTATGAGATAGCAGACATTAAGAGAAAAAGAGAGGAAGTATTTGATGTTGAAACGAGAGATTTTGGTTATTAAATTTAAGACAGTTGGAAATTTATAGAAAATAAGAATGTTATATTGTATTATTAATTAGATGATGTAAGATGGTGAGAAATAGAATATATTCAAACAGATAAGACGTGTATCCTGAATATTAGACTTTGTGATGAATTGTGATAAAGGGAACTTTGGTTACTTAAAACTTGGAAATTATAAATATTAAATGTTAAATTTAAATATTAATGGGAAACTAAAAATTGAAAAAACTAATTAGGACATTGATTGTCTATAAAGATTGAATGTTAAAATAATCTGGATATGTATAAGCTAAAAATTATTGATAAATGTAAGAATATTATTTTTATTTAATTGATATAAGAATTGTATTAGTTTAAACATGAGACAGTAAATACTAAGGGGAAAAGAGAGGAAATATTTAATGTGGTAGTTTGAAACTGGCACTAAAAGATATTTGTATGTCATTGAATTATTTATTAACTCAGCTGCCACATTGCTTTTTAAATACTTAAATGTAAAATTAGAAAATCAATAAAACATTAAAAAATAGTAACCTAGATGTCCCACCATTTAAATATGAGCAGCTGCCAAAAAATCCAATTCAATCCTAGGTTGCTTCAACAGAGGAATGGCATCAAAATCACAAAAAATAATAGTATAGCTTTTTATATTGTACTAGTGATACCACACTTGGAATACTGCATCCAAATCTGGCCATCTTGATACAAAAAAGAGCAGCTAATATGGTAAGGAATATATTGGATAAATCATATAAGGAACAATTAAGGTAAGTAGATATATCTAGCTTAACAAAGAAAAGAATTAGGGGTGACATGATAGCAGTGTAGAAAATAACTGGAAGAAGCAAGGAAGTTTAAAAATAAAATATAGATACTTTTAGCATTATCATGTAATCATTGATTTGTTACTTTATGGTCATTACTTTATAATCAATTGCCTGAGTAGATGCTTTATGTATATTGGAAAATTACAAGCCTCAAGTGAGGGGAGGAGGGAAATAGGAGTTACGATGGGGTCTGGTGTGAGTCATCATCTAGGAATTGTTTTTCTGTACCTTTGGGTGCCTGGTAACCACTACTTGGTCTGAAAGGTGTAGAAGATGGAAGACATCTTTCTTCTAAGATTGGTAAGTGTTACGTCCTTGGCGGGAAAACAGACACGAGAAGCAGCTGGAGTTCTCAGTTTCCTTTATTCAGCGTTCAGCTTACAGGAAGATGGCTTCAGCTCAGCCCAAACGCCTCGCAGCCCCTTATATAGGCAACTCCCGGGTAAATGGGTTACTTTTCCCGCGCCAGCACCCGCGCATGCGCACGGCGCTGGCGACAGCCTGTCTGGTCCCGGGCAGCTTTGCACCTGCCCGGGACTGCCTGCAAACGCCCGAGCCGTTTGCAAAGGCTCGGGACATAACACCCCTTTCCCCCGGGCTAAAACTACTACCAACATACAGCATTTATTTTATATAACATTTTGCTCCCCAGTGCTCCCACTGTTTACTGGCCTTTGCCTTGCCAGCAATGTTATGTAGTCTTCTAGGTACTTGGGAGATTTCTTTGCTCTCTGTGACCTTCTTAGCTGTGGGTTACTGGCATAAGTCCCCTGACTGGAGGGAGGCGTGAGCCTATTCTCTCTATTGTGCCCTGGTGTCTTCCAAGGACTGTGCCCCGATGCCTGGCCTGCTTGCTTGCCCACCGGGCTCGTCAGGCCAGGGCTTCTGTTGCTTTGTGACCTGGTTGACCTGCCTAGCTGTAGACCCTCAGGCCCCTTGAAGTGATAGCCGCTGCTGGGCGTCTCTGTAGGACCTCCTAGGTCAGTCCAAGACCTGTCAGGAGGCTGTCCATTCCCTGAACCCCATTCTGTGTTTGGGCTCATGTGGGTTTCTGTACTCTCCCAAAACTCAGGTGTCCCCTGATTTGCGCTAGGGGTGTTGTAGTCGGGACTTGGTTCCTCGACTAGCTCTGTGTATGTTTGACCCTCTGTAGGATTTGGGGTAAGGTCAGGCCAACTTTGGGGATTGTGTGCCAGCTCTCTTGCGGGGAATGATTTGTTGGGATGCCCCCGGGTATCCTCCGTGACTGGAGTGCTGTGTGATATGTGTGGAAAGTGAGTATGCCCCCGGGGTGACTCCCTGGCTGGAGTAGGCGTGGATGCCTGTTGTGTGGGTAAGCTCCATGACTTCCTTTTCGGAGCAATTGCAGAATCTTGGGACGGGCCGTCTGTGGCTCCCTCAGTGGAGATGGGCAGTAACTCTTGCCCTTCCCTTTGCTCCAAAGGGTCCCCCTCCCCCCCTGGAAAAGACCCAGGAGTTCAGCAGAAAAGTCCCGCCTAGAGCGGAGTTGGTCGATGTGCCGACGCAGGACACGACCGTTGTCCAGGGCAACCTCGTAGGAGAGAGGACCTGTGATCCTGGACACAGAAGCGGGGACCCATGTATGACCAGGCCCGTAATTGCGAGCCCAAACCGGGGCACCCACAAGTAGTTGTCTAGGTGCCCTAGGATGTGAGGTAGATGAAGGCAGTCTGTCCGGATGCAACCGGTCAAGTCTCGTAGTAAGTTGGCGCCCCCAACGAAGTTCAGCTGGACTTCTCCCTGTAGAAGTGGACGGTGTGGTGCGATAAGAAAGGAGAAAGTCAGCCAACCTGTGATGCCAGTCCC